GCGGGTCGGCCCCTGACTCTCTGCGTTTGTGCTGCAGATCACGGTGCTGGGGACGCCTGCGGAAGAACAAGGAGGAGGCAAAATAGACCTGATAAAGGCTGGAGCGTTTGACGGCCTGGATGTGGTTTTTATGGCACACCCCTCGCAAGAAAACGCAGCTTACCTGCCCGATGTGGCCGAGCACGAGTGAGTGAGCACGTTCATGTGGAAAGGGTTGGCTTGTTACTAGCCTTTTCCCCCCTCCCCGAGTAGGGGAGCTGCTTCGGAAGGGGCGGAATTTAGGACCGGGGACCTTGCAGGTGCCCTTCAGACGAAGTATTTGCAGTCAGCTAAGGAGCCAGGTCACTGTTCTGGGCACTCAGCCGTTCTTTCAAAGTGCAGCATTCAGCCTAGTGTTAAAGATCCCTGACTGCTCTGAGATAATCTTGCATGTGTCCTCAAAATCCATCCTTTCTTCTGATGTTTCTAGGCCTTTCTTTTTATACATGCATGTGATTGATTATCTAAGTTTCATTTTTAAAAAAGTTTCATTTAAAAAACTGCTGTTCTTTAAATTTTAGAACATGCAACTGGAGGGAGTCTCATGGATCCTTGTTCCTTCCTTTCCTGGGCACCACGTTATGTAGTCCTCTGTTTGCATTTTATTTTAATCAGTTTTGAAAGTGTTTCAGGTTTTCTCTCCCTTTTTTTGAAAAAGCCAGCCAGCTGAGCCTGACTGCTGTTTGGATCCTTATTAACTTCCAGCCTAAATTTAATCACGGCCATTTTATATCTGTTAGCTCTCACATCAACTTTTTTTTTGATTCAAAGTAGTTCTTGGCTTTCCTTCATGTTTACCCCCGATATATATCTATAGACAGCAGTCATACCCTCACTCAGCTTTTTTTTTGCCAGCTAGCCATAAAACTCTTTAGAAATTATGCCTTGTCTTCTTTTGATTAGCTCTACTGTACAGTGTCAGCACTTGCTCCTTTGTACTTGGAGTGACTTGACTTGCCTTGAAGTACTCCTTGCTGGATGTGTGTAATCGGAATTGTACACAAGTACATCAGGTGGAATTTCCTTAGACCTTACTCAGCTGATGCTGGGACCATAGTGTCTCCTTATCATTTTTGAGACAGCTGGCATGTTTGGGGCTGCTTCTTCATTCATTTTCAAGCAATCAGCTCTTAGACAAATGCTTAGTCTGTAAGTACGTGGTCTTTTAAGATATTTTGGGGTTTCATTCTGTTCTTTCTCTGCCAGTCTGTAAGGCCGTGCTGTTCTTCCTTTGATACTATAAACCTCTTCTGTTTTCATAGTGTCCCAGCAGTAGTCTATCAGCAGGTTTTGTTACTACGTTTTATGCCATGGTTACTAATGATTCTCGATCCAAAGATCTTATCTTGTAGAGACTCCACTAGTAACCTCCCTCCAGTGCAACAGTTTTTTCCAAGTACTAGGTTTGGCTGTCTCTGACTTAATTCTGTAATATTTAAATAACTGGTTTTCCAACCATTTCTGACTTGATGTACTATTTTCATCTTGGTTGTGCTACCTTCCAGCTCCAATGTGCTTGATTTTATTGGCCATTTTCCTTTTGCAAGTGCTGTTCCTGGTGGATAATTTGCTTCTGTTACTGCTAAGTTTTACGGCAAAACAGACAAGGTTAGGAACAGCTAATCTTCCTTACCTAGCTAGTTCTCTGCTGTAGTCCATGATTGTGTTTCTAAAGAGTCTTAACTGGTTATTGTAATCTCCTTCAAGACTTGTCTCAGCTTGGCTTTTGGTTGCTGTACCTTAAGACTATAATCTTCAAGATGCAGTTCTCATGAATGGTTTTCTCTTTCGATTCATTTCAACTCCTGCAATAGCCCTTTGAGTTTGATACTTTAAGATTTGGAAATCTCCCTTCAGTCGTGATGGTCTGCTGTAGGATGCAAGTCCTAGATAGCCTTTAAACCTTGAATGTGGAGGAGGCATGGAATTTAAGTACTGAGTGAAACAGCTTGCTGCCTCCAAAAGCTTGAAATACTCAGCTTATGTCATGATTTATTTAATTATGAGATTCCAAAGGTACAAAGACTGTTTTGATGACTTGTAATTGATCTTTTGGTTGTTTCCAAGGAATTGCTAGTATTACTACATCTGCAAACTCCGAAGCTGGCTTGTCCCTGAAGTAAAATTAACATACTGGGATAATTGGTGAATACATGCCAACATTTGCTGATTCTTATTCACTTACCCTTCACCTAATCAGCCTATTTATTTTTGGTCAAACAAGATCCACATTCTTCTGCTAATACTCTTAAACTGGCTTAGGGTTTCATTACTCACCAAAATCTGCTATTTTTTTCTGAGAGTATGTGACATTCGTGTAGCAATAGAAGTACAAGAGAAGGAATGCTGAAATAACTTTTTTTTAAGAAGCACATGTTTCTTGTGGGGAAAAAAAAGATTGGAACATGACTTTCTGCTTTACTTTGCCCTCTCTCCATTTTTTGGAGAGTATCTATCTGTCCTGCCTTCTTTGTGAGTTGATTTGAGGGGTTGCAGTCTAATACTTGGGATGTTAATGGATAAGTTTTCTTATCTTGATTTCATAATGATAATAAAGTTTAAATAAACCTCATACTTTATAGAATGGGATGTATGGTTGTCTTGGAGGATGAGGGAGGATGGAAAAAGGCATACTTAATTCGGATTGCAGGAGACATTTTCTGCTGCAACAGTACACTCCATTGTGTCCCTCTTTGCTATCCAGTATTTAAGTTCTGGTATTAACTTACAGCTGTGCCGTGGTGCAGAGCATGAGGGGTCAGCTCAGGCTAAGTGGCTAAGTTGGCATCTGCAAGACAGAAGGACAAGCAAGTTAGGCTGGTCCTAGCTGGGTAAGAGACAGGTTGTGCGTCTCAGCTGGGAACTCTTGAGCTTGAGGATGGAGTTTTTTGTGTAAAGGACTGGGTATTGAGTACAAACAGATTTAGTTAAAATCTCTAGTATTGATAAAAAACTAATGCTTGTGTATTTGATAAGTAGTAATACCTTATGTAGTTGTCAGTATTTAATATTTGCCTCTCATGTAAAGAGTTTTCATATAATTTGAAATACTAAATTATTTTGTAAGGCTACTATAAATGGCCCTCATAAGATGAAGCCAAGCATGAATTCTTTCTGGATGTGTTTAGGTGCAGTATTTTGACTTCTACAAAGTTGGAGGATAACCTTTGCACTAGATTTCTTCCTTGTTGCAAGCCTTTTTACCAGCATTTTTGAGGTGTGCAGGGAAAGAATATCCTTGCTGTAGCATGGTAATGTATATTTTATACTAGGCTATGCCTTTACTGCACTCTTAAAACTTCACTTTTGTTATTTAGACATGGCTTGTATGTGATCTTAGTAATGTGCTTTTGCTGTCTTATATACACATTTTATTGAAGTTTGACAAGAATTAAGACAATTGACTTCTAATTTTGAATCAGAGAAAAGGATTTGTTATCTTCTGAGAAGAATGTTAGTAACTTTAAGTCTCAGAATAGTCAGGAGGTATAAAAAAAGTGTTGGAGACATTTAATTAGTATGTGAAGCCTGTACTTCTCAGGAAAAGGATGTATAGTGGTATGTTACCAGTAGCTCTTTTGCCTGATTGGCTCTTGATATTGTTCCGTTTCATGGGTTTTATAGAAATCTTTCAGCATCTTCCTGGACTGAAAGGTAGTTCAACTTTGCAAGAGTGTAGTGCCAGGTAAATTGTTCGGTGTTCTGCTGCACAAAACTTAAATATTTGTGTGAACAAAAGCAACTTTTTATTTTAGAGGTTTTTTCAGTGAACGAAAAACAAATAAGCAATGCCTTTTATTTCCTAGTGTGGCTGTGAAATACTATGGAAAAGCTTCTCATGCTGCTGCTTATCCTTGGGAAGGAGTTAATGCATTAGATGCTGCTGTTCTTGCATACAACAATCTGTCTGTTTTAAGACAGCAAATGAAACCGACCTGGAGAGTTCATGGTGAGATCTTCATTCAATATATGTCCAGCAAGTAAGAGTTTAGGCTGTTGAAATACTAACTTACAAAATCCCCCAATTTAAAATATTGCATTATTGCACTAAATTAGTATAGTCACTTCAAATATTATCAAATAGCACCATTTCATTTAAATAGTTTGTCTGTAACCTTTAAAATCATGTCAGTGTCCAGAACTAACTTCTGAAAATAGGCTTATGGGTCAGATTCAAAAAAGGACACGGGTACCTAGGAAGAGGCTAGACAAATTTTAAGTCTTTGCACTTGGAGTTGCAGTTTAGAAAGAAAAAAAAAAAAGCTAAGTTTATTTTGGTACATGGCCTTGAATTCCTTAAAGTTAATGTACGTGTTTTTGCAAAGGTGTAAGATTAAATGCTTCTGAAGAATGAAGTATTACTGCATCATTTTTGTAGTAGACTTTCCATTAATTAGATGGCATTTATATTGACATATATGGAAAAGTGTAGTGGTCTAGAGTGTCTGAAGTTTATTTGCTGAAGTACAAAAAACAAGTGATGGCAGAAGCCTATAGTTCTCATTAGTAGCCCAATCAACTAGATGTGCACTGGATTCTAATATTTAATGTTTAGTAGACCTTGAAGTAGAAAGGTCATTTTGCAGTAAGATATGTTAACTGTTAAGCTTGACTCGTACTCCTTCAACATCATGCATTTCTTTTTGTTTTGGAAGTTGAGATGGAAGCTGCCCTTAAACTATAAACCCAGGTTTCCTTTATTACATCCAACATAACTTTTTCCAAGTTGAAATTAAGAAAATTTGCCATTTCTACAGGATTTCTGAATGTAGAACTGTTTATTTGGAATACTTGTTATGAGCTTAAAACACTTCCAGAATCCAGACGTTCTGAGCTAAGGATCATTATATGTCTTGGCTGCTTGTGCTGTATAATACATGTGTGTATTTCTTTCCAGGATACCTGGATGGAGTCTGGAAGCCCTAACCCTTTTGACTGTAGATGAAGATGTTTGCATTCTGTGCAGCATACCCAAATGACTTTCAGACAGCGGGCATAGCCTTAGCTCACTATCCTATTGCTCTGTAGGAAACAAGGCACTTAATGATGAGCTTTGGTGTCTGAAACCCAGGTGTTGCAGGTTTAAGATTGGAGGTGCCTAAGTCTTCTATTGGATCTAAGCCTAAAACCCTAAATACAGCTTTCTTCATAGGTTCTAAAGGCTACATGGGTAATGTAGGCAAAAAACTAAGTATCTTAACGAGCCTCCTAGAGGTAATGCTTCCTGAACCACAGCAAAACTTAAATTACTGTGTTGATACAACTGCTGTCATAAACCTGGTTTTCAAACTGGAAATATTTAAAATACCTTTGGGAAAGTATAAGCAGCCAGAATGAGATTTAATTTTAGGAGTGCTTTCTTTACAACGGTGTGTTGGAGGTCTTGTGTTGCAGGCTTGCAGTAGCAGCTGTGGCTGACTTAAGTGATTCTAAAAATCTTAGTGTTAACCCACTAACAAGAACTGAAATAGTTTCCATTACTTGAAGTCTAGAATTCTAAGCAATGTTTTATGATGTACTTGAACAATGTTGGTTTGAGTTTGTCTAATATTTGATAAGTTTTTTCTTCCCTGCTTATGAGTGGAGTAAATGTTGCCCCCTTGAAAAATAGGAATGTAGATTTTATGTTCAAGAAATTGTATTAAACAGGCTGTAAAAAAAAAAAGTTCCATCTAGAAGCAGGGCAAACTAGGTGCTATTAGTAGTGCGTAGGCAGCCTACTTTTAAGCTAGATCTGCTGTCTAGTCCATATTACAGTTGCGTTGAAATTTAAGTGTAGACATGCTTAGACTCTATCCAGTTCCCTTTACAAATGTGTTGGAAGACAAATGAAAGCTCATTAAGCTGCTTGTTTTGAGCAAACATGTTATGATGTGTGTCATGCAAATCTGCATGATTGATTACTTGCTAATTTGCTGGTTCCTTTTCTGTGATGTCTGTCCCTCTCATCTGAGCTGTTCCTTTTGTTATGGACTAGTACTGATAGTGGTTTAATTCAGCACTCCGTTTACTTTGACTGTATTTGACACTGGAAAGGTTTTACTTGAGGGGGGAGTTCATAGTCTTAATAGGTTTTCTGCAGCAAAAGTAAAGATTTGCTTATTTGCATCCTGATAGTGCTGTCTTTTCAGGCTTCAGTGACGCACATCAGTAACTTTGTGCAGTATTTCCATTTAAGCTAGATAGTTTCTCAGGTTCTACAGAAAACAAATCTTATTCCATATATATAAATTGAGGATAGGAGGCCAGGGAAACAAGCAGCCTGTTGAAAGCAATGAGATATTAATGCATTGAAGTCTAATGTAGAATTGAGGTCTACTATGTTTTTTGTTGAAATATCTAAATATTATGAACTTTTATGATAATGCCTCTGATGCCATAATTAAAAACTGTGTAGTTGTCACACATTTCCTTGAGGGAACACTTTCAACTCAAACTTCATTCTTGAATAAAACTGTATGTGTATTATACAACCCAATATTTCTAGAGAATTAGTATGAGGAATCTAATGAACTTTCTGTGCACTGCAACACACACATTACGCCTGTACTGCTGAGGAATGCAACTTACTCAATTTCTCTCCAAACTGGCAAAATAAGTTGGAAACATTCTAGTTGAGGAAACCTTTAAAAGTTGGAATCCAAGGTAGCTTTATAACAATTTTTTTTCTTTTTCAATGGCAGCCAGATTGCTCTACGACTCCAATGCATTGAATTTCAGGGGATTAATTACAAATGCTAGTTTGGCTTGTCTTTAGGTTTATAACAGATAACCAAAGAATGCAATGAAATTGTGCTGAAAAACTGGTATACATTCCACTTAATCTGATGGGATAAAACTTTGTCCACATACTGTATTTTTGACATTCTTCATGCTCAGTTGATGTTTTGTTGGGTTTTGTTTATGTATTTAGTCCTTGAGCAAGGAGTGTCATGATCAAGCATTTGTATTTAACATGGGTAACATGACTTTTCCCTTTCTACAGGTGTAATAAAAAATGGTGGTGTGAAACCTAACATCATACCTTCTTACACTGAACTAGAGTTTTACTTGCGTGCCCCTTCAATGAAAGATCTTTCTGTTCTGACAGAGAAGGTTGAGAACTGCTTCAAGTCTGCAGCACTGGCCACAGGATGCAAAGTAAGAATGTATTCATGGTCCTGTGTTTCTATTACACTGGCAATCAGGTAGGCCAGAGCAGGAAATCGAGGCTTACAGCATTTGTCTGCATGGTGTTTAGGTGAAAGAAATCAAAATGTCAGTGATACTGTTTGCTATTCTGTTGCTTTGTGTCCTGAATGAAAGCTTTGTTTTATAAATAGAATGCCACAGAATCATAGAATAATCTAGGCTGGGAGAGATCTCCAGAGATCGTCTAGTCTAAGCCGTTGTTCAGAGCAGGAGCAGTTAGAGCACATTGCTCAGTGCCATGTGGACTTCTGAGTATCTCCAAGGATGAAATTCTACAACGTCTCTCAACAGTGCTCTACCCACTTCATGGTGAACAAGGTTTTTCCTGATGTTTATGCTGTGATAACTGAGCCCTGGAACAGTTTGCCTGGAGAGGTTGTGGTGTTTCCATCCTTGGAGATACTCAAAAGCTGCATTGATATGGTCCTGGGCAACCAGCTCTAGGTGACCCTGCTTGAACAGGGGAGTTGGAGAAGATGACCTCCAGAGGTGCTTTCCAACTTCAACCAACTTCTATGATTCTGTTGTATCTAATAGGAGTTTCCTGTGTTGCCTCTTGTCACTGGGCATCTTTGAGAAGTCTGGTTCTATCTTCTCTCTACCCTCCCCATCTGGTAGCTGTAGACAGCTTAACTTTCTTTTCTGAAGGCTCAACAAACCAAGTTGTTCCAGCCTTTCCTTGTATGTTATGTTCTCCAGCACCCTAATCATCTTGGTGGCGTTCCCCTGGACTTGCTCCAGTCTTGAGTTCAGGAGCACAAAACTGAACACAGTACACCAGATGTGGTCTCACATCTGCATCAATAATAAAGATGTTAAAACAGTAATGGCACCAGTATTGATTGCAGATGGATGCCACTAGGAAAAGGCAGCAATTTGGATTTTTGTGCTACTGATCATAACACTTTGAGCCTGAATGTCTTCTGTGTCCACTGATTCAGACCTGTCATCATGAAAAGCTAAGCTTGGTCATGCACCATGTGCTCTTCCGTGAATCTATGCTGGATAGTCACAATCGTCTTGTGACTCATGTGCCTGGACATGGGTCTTAGGAGGATTTATTTGCTCTATAACCTCCCCACGAGTTTGAGGATAGGATGGTCTGACCAGTCTGTAATTTCCAAGAGCCTCTTCCTGGCCCTTCAAGATGTAGATGACCTTTAGCTCTTTTTCAGTGAGCTGGAGCATCCCTCTGTTTCCTTTGCCCCATTAAACAGCAGGCTCATGTAACAACCAAATGTGAAAAACTGAGTGATTTTTCAGTTAGCATTCTTATTTTTTTTGCTTTTAGTTAAGTGGAAGTGTCTCTCCTGTGGCTGGTACCAACAATATCATTACCTTGCAATGTATTGCTTAGATAGGCGGTTCTACCTGCTCTGTAGTTACAGGTTGATGGCTAATACAGCTGTGAACAGCTCATCAGAACAAACAGGTATAGTGTATATGAATGTGAGTTTTAAGGTCTATTTGAGGCATTAGATGCTGTTTTCCTAGTATGGCCTCTCCACTCTAGCTGGAAAAGGATTTCAGAAAGTATACTTTATGCAGAATGAAAGTTAAGATCTCTCTTGAAGCTTGACATTGGTATGTTTTTCACACTTGTTTTCAAACATCTTGCCTGTGTGAAGTCATTTCATGAATGGGGCTGTAGTTATTGGAAGTGTTCTAAACAAAAATAGTAAAATAGTAGAATTTGGTGAAAGACTGAATTGATTTCTATGTAGTTTAATAGTACCTGCAGTGGAAATCATTAGAAGCTGTTACAATGTTTGCTTACTATTTTTGGAGATGCTCTCCATGAAATCCATGCTTCTGGAATTTGGCTGTCTAGTGCAAGCTTGACAGAACACCAGCTGTGTTTCGATCAAGGCTAATATTTGGCAGAATGTTATATTTTTGAAAGAAACTTAGTGCTTATGTCTGTTTTGACATGGGCTTGAAGTATGGACATGTATTTAACTTTTCCAGGCTTTAAATTGTTTACATTAAACTGGCTTAGGTTGGTGAAAAATTTCTAATCATTTGGGTTTTTTTGTCTAGGTGGAAATAAAAGGTGGTGAAAATGATTACTACAATGTGCTTCCAAATAAAAGCCTGCAGAAAGTTTACAAGGAGAATGGAAAGAAGCTTGGAATTGAGTTTATATCTGAAGACTGTATCTTGAATGGTTTGTCAGGTAACTTGATCTGGGTTTTTTTGTTATGACTTAGGCTTAGATTGATCAACTTGTAAGTGTATGAAAAAATGGGATAGAGGTAGGTTAAACACAGTTTGGTCAGAAGAAAAAAGCCAATTAGAAAATAGAAGCTCTGTGAAAGGATTGTTCCTCTGGCCTGTATTTGTTGTAGAAGCTGAGAAATTTTCCCAACAGGTATGGAAAACAGTAATCATTTTCTGATAATATTTCTGAAAATATTTTACAGTTTAGTTGGGAGGGATGGAAGGATGGAAAGATAAGAACTGTCTTACTGAGAACATGAGGATGTAGAATGAATTGGGGCTCATTATGTTGCTTTGAAATACAGAATCCTGGTTTATGCTATGAATGAAGATGAGATTTAGTTTTTAGGAACCGTGTGTAACGATATTTTCCAAGCTTACATATAAACAAATGTACTAGCATATAACTAATATTTTAGAGGGAGTTTTTGAAGAGATTTTTAAGTGGAAGTTTAAGCATCTCAATAATCCTAATTTAAACCTCTTTCCATTAACAGGTAATTTTGTGCCTCTAATTTTAGTTCACGAGTTCAACAGATTAGTTTTCCATAGGGTGCCATTCAAATAGGTGTTCACTTCTGGGTCTTGACTGTGTCTTAAACTATTTCACTTTCTTGGTCTCTCAGAGTTATAATAGGAGTGTGAATTCTTGAACGCTCAGGTGGGTTTCTCATTACCCTTAACAGTTTTTTTTTCCCAGAATCTTCCTACAGGAGCTCTGTTCAAGTCTTACAACTGGTTATACTTTATAGCCTTCACTACTGATCATAACTGTATATATAAATGTTTTTACTCCACTTATGTTAAAGGTTTTTCTCTTTGGTTAGAAGGAAAAGATTGTTTTCAGTAAAAAATTGTTATTCCAATTAGTTTGATTGCAGTATTAATCTTCTCTATATTAAATGCAGATTATCTTTGGGTAGTTGAGATCTTGGTGTTTGGGGACAGAATTATCCAAACTTTTATTTGTGTGGAGGAAACAGGATATCTAATGGTATTCTGGTTGTTTTTCTCTTATTTCTTACTTCCTTTCCAAATTAAGGCAACACTAGCATATTTTCTCCAATTGGTTCATTGTCTTGGGTTTAAAAACAAATTATAACTAAAGGCAGATTTCTTTTTTTTCTTTATTCAGTATGGTACAAGTCAGACATACTACTTTGCTCACTTAGCCTAAGAAAGGCGCTGAGGATCCTTATTTAGAATGTTTACTGTAGTGAAACTTTTTGGAGCTCTGCGTTGCTTCCCTCAAACCATTGTATTAAGGGTGAAGATCATGAATACGGGTCGTCATGCTGGTTCAGAGGACTTTGAATGAACTTAGTACAGACACCTAATTGTAATAGTGCTTTCATATGTAAGTTATATGCTAAATATGAAACATTAACTTGCTTAAACTGAAACTCTCCATATGCCTGTCCTGTCCTTTAATTGCTTGTTGAATGTCAAAATGTGCTTGAGAAATAATGTTTTTATTGCACACTGCAGTAGGCCTTACTGAATTTTCTTTCCACAGCTGCTTCTCTGAGTTTTTGCAGTGAGGATTCAGGAGTGATAACAAAGCACAGTCTCCAGAGACATAGGAGTGAAATTTTGTATGCTACCCTTTTTGGGAGGGGTTGAGTGTTTTGTCTCATCTTTTTCAAGACCTCTATTTCTGTTTAGTTTTCATATGGTTTTCAATGTTTTCTTTTAGGATATCAGTTTCTTCTGTTGAAAGGGAAGGAAGATAGCTCAGTTGCTTCTCCATGTCTGTGCAGCAGAAAAGTCGTTAACAGATGAGCGTACTCGCTGCCACCTCTACATGGGTATTAGTATCGGTCTGCTTACAGGTATCGCTCTAGGCAGCTAAGTGTTACGAAGAATTCCTTTAGTCCATCAAATCACACTACCTTGCGTGTGCCTTGTGCGTGCTCCGCTCGTTTGGCACACAGCCAGGATGATGTGAAATAATGTGAATCTGAGTTAGCTTTGACCAGGTGCCATGACCTGTTTCTCCTTCTGCTGGTAGGGTAGCTCTACCACAGGATATTGATAACCTCCCAGAGCAGATGGCTTAGTTTAGCATGCCTTTAGTTGAGGCACCCACACGTGTTATAACTTTGATATTTTTAGCATTCATGGCGTTCATTGGCTTCCTGTGCACAAGACTGATATAGACAATCATAAGAAGGAGCCAGTATGTTTTGAAAATACCACTTTTGAAGCTTGGGGCTGTATATAAATGCTTCCTGGAATCTTTTGCATTTTCCCCTCCGTTCATGTTTGTGGTAATACTGGCTTCCATTATGTGCTCAGTGACTTGAAGAGGCTTCAGTATCAGCTTCAGGATATTCTTTGAGAGGCTGGAGCTCCCAGTACCTTTCTATTGAAGACAGTGTAGAAGTCTGTTTATTGCATTGATAACTGTGCAATTATTTATGCTTCTAGAAGGAAACCTGATCTGTATATCTCTAGCAAGCATACAGTTCCAGATGTTTGTATGGAAACTATTGGAATGCCTGAATTTTAAATATGCTGCTAGGTATGATAGAGGGGAAGATTTGACTGTCACATTTTTGTTAAAAGCTGCCTGGATTTTGGCTTGGTAAGCTCTCTGTCTTACTAGAAAATGCCAAATTTAAATCCCTTACATTCAGCAAAAATAAATTGTAAACTGATAGTTGGATATGGATTGGATATGGATATAATTTTAAGTGGAATTACATGACTGAGAGCTGGGATGCACTGAAATTGCTAATGCTTCATTTGCTGGGTGAGAGCAGAGAAAAAGGCCAACACAGTCTTTCCAGCAGCTTGTGTATTAGGACTTAGTAAGGCAAGTCTAGAATTCTTGGTTTAGTCTGGAGTAGGCAGAATTTCTAGACTTCTGGTTTGTCTTTCCAGACTGACCAAAGATTGGATCAATAGTGTAGACTACTGAAAATTAAAATAACTTGTTGCTGTGCCAAGAGTTGGATTTTCTTCAGATGCATACTGAATTTATGGGAAGAGATAATTTTTTTGGACAAGCCTTGCTGTTTCTGTTTGTCTGTAGGCAGAGCAAATAGCAACCTAGTCTTGTCCTCTTTGATCACACAATGTAGGCTCTGTGGACTCACTTCTAGTAACTATATGCTTCCAAGTAAATCTGTATTCTTCAATCATTTAATTACCAAGTCTTAAGGCATTAGCAATATCTTGTCTCCATAAAGTATCACGTTATGGAGGCTACCTGATGTGTTACAAATAATTTTAAATCTTTGGAACAGTCATTTTATATGCCATTGCTAAAGAAAAAAATTCTTACCGCTCTGATTGACCTATTTTTCCCCACTACGAAACAATGCTTACTCTGGTATCTGAATTTCACAATAACTGGCATGTTGATTTCTCCAGCTTCTAAATGTCCTTTTAACAAATACTTAGTGGATTGCTTGTTTGGGTAAAAAAAAAGGCATGCAGGAAGTAGTTGCAGACTCTTGGATGATTTACTATGAAGGATCTACTTGTTCTGGATGGTATCATTAAATAGATAAAGCAGTACTTTGAGATAGGTACTATCACTAGCTAACATACTGAAAGTGCTAGTCAGTCATGAAAGAATCATCATTAAAATCTGCAGCATTGCTATCAAGAATTTTTTTATGTCTATAAAGCACTAGCGTTTTGTCTGGAGTTCAGTTCTGATCTTATTTCAAGAGTGCTTGTGCTGTTAAAGTTTCCATAACTGAGAATAATCAAAAAGCACAGGAAAAAATAATTGTCCTCAATCTGTTTTTGTTTAAAGATAGGTTGTTCCTACTTCAGAGTCCCCTACCTAATGCTGAATATTTGCATACTGGTGAAAAGCGGTAACTGTTGGGCCTGGTTCTAAGGGCTGTAGCAGGAAAATAACTGGACTGCCTGAAACTCCACGGTTTGCAGCTTTCATTGTTTCTGAATTAACAGCTTACTATCAGGAGATACTTGATAAAAAATTAACAGTAAATGGAATAGGAACATGCTGATATGTCTTCCTTGCAGTCCAGTAACTGATTATTGATCAGAAGCGCACTGGAGAGCAGCATCTGAAGATGGCTAGTTAGGGAAAACATCTCGGTGATGGGAGATTTTTGTATGGATAATGACTCATTAGAAATGCTTTATTTTAGTATTTGGGGCAAAAGATATTCTGTTTTAGATATGGGCTGGAGATAATATCTATCATACATTTTCTTACAGCATTCAAAACTCTTCAACACTTGTTCATTAAGAAAATTTCTGTGCTGCTTCTAGGTTCCACGGACTTCGGAAATGTTACATTTGTAGTCCCTGGGCTTCATCCTTATTTTTATATTGGCTCTGATGCATTGAACCATACTGAGCAGTACACAGAAGCTGCAGGTGAGTGGAAGTGAAAAGTGTTAGAGATTTATATTTGGAACCCCTGTACATTGTAGGGACTGGTTGCTGTATCTTCACTACAGCAAATCTAGAAATTTCAAATTACAGAGGATTAAAGCTTTCATGTGCTTCTATGGTATTCAAAGCTACCGTGTAGTAAATGTATAAAAGTGTAAGTGGCTGCATGTGAATGCCTGTATAGAAATGGAGTTGCTTTCTTCAAGCATGATGGGATCTGAGCTGAATACGGACCCTGAAACAATTTACTTGGTTAATTGTAGAGTTGCAGAATTTCTATTTTGGTGTTTAAAGTTAATGTATATCGGAAGGATGACCACTCCTCATACTAAAAGCCTGACATACTAAAAGCCTGAGAAATTAGAAGGATTATCCCCTAGCAGCATATTCAGAAGAGTTTCTAAACATGAGCCAAAAGAGAAAAGTCAAAAGTCCAATACTCTGGAAATGTAATAGAGATAATAAAACTCTGCATTTTCTAAAAAGGAAAACGTGAACACTTGTTTTCCTGTTTTCAGTCTTGTTTACATCAGTAACAGAAAGTTAAGTACTTTCATGTGAAAACTTGTCTTGAGGTATCAGAAAACAGACACACTTCATTCATGCAAGTAGATTTTTAATAAACTGTTCTTGCAATTGAAATTTGAAGATCTTATTTTATAGAATATGCTTTATGTGGTAAACTAGTGGTTTGTATCTAATACTAGTAATCTAACCTGAAGTTTCTCTCACTTTTTTTCTGCAGGGTCACAAAATGCTCAGTTCTATGCTTTGCGCACAGCAAAAGCTTTGGCAATGACAGCACTGGATGTCATTTTCAAGCCAAGTCTGCTAGAAGAAGTCAGAGAAGACTTTAGACAGGTGAAGCTAAAAGAAGAGGGACAAATAAATCCAGTAGAACCTAACAAAGAATCTAGTGTTGGCATAGGAGCATGTGCATCACACTAAACTTTATTAAACCTCTCTCAGTAGGATTGACTTAATGGAGACGCTGTATTTAAATCCCAGAAGGGGCTGGATAAACACATAGCTGAAGAAATGTTCTTTTTTTTTTGGACTTTAAGAGAAGCAAATAGTATCATTGCTTTCAAAAATGTGAAATTTCATCTAGCTGTAATGTTTGTATTCAATATGGTGATGAATTTCAGAGAGAGATCTCAAATATGTTGTCTTTAAGTTGCAGTGTTGAATAAATGGTAGTGTTTAGATCCCTTGTCAGTGATTTTCTATGTATTGCTAAAGTGATATTCCTTATAGGGGAAATATGGCATTTACATGGAAACTTTTGTTCTAAAACAAGCACTGTTCACTCGGTGATCATAGGCTGAATCCGATCTATGAAGCATTTTCCTCTGGCCAGTCACTTTTCTTGGGACAAGATAGAGGCTTAAAACCTAAGCTGGTTTCACTGGAGAGAAGGGTATATGTTTGGAAGCATGCCTGGTTTTGACAATAGTAGCTTCTAGCAATGGAACAGAACTGTTTGTATGGAAATGTGATCTGTAAAGGTTGATTGTCCTGAAATACATTGACCTTCCTCCTAATAAATTTTGGAGGTGTTGTGAAGAAGTCATTGGTCAAAAAATTGGAAAGCAACTAAATGTTTATTTGTTTAAATTAACACATTTAAACTACTGCAGGAAAACGCATGTGTACCTTTTTTAAGTTCTACTCTAAGGCAATATAAGTGTCCACATAAGGTGTTGCACTAGCTTAACTGATCTGAAGGATGTGTATAAATTTAGCTAAACCGGTGGAAATCTTTTTCACGAAGATGCAAGCATGGTACCGTGAAGCAGTAAATGAAGGTAACCTTAAACTGGTTGTGTGCAAAGCCCGGTAGTAAGCTCTGAGAAGCTTGCACTGAGGATTGCTTGTGCAGTAACTGGCTTCTCAGACCTGTTTGTTCCATATCCTAAGCAGCAGATGTGTAAAGTCTTGCTAGTTGTCCTTTCTGCGTGTTGTGTGGTTAGTCTGTGTAATCCTTGTTATTTTGCTTCCCAGAGCCATTAATGTTGCAAATTTTATCTAGGTGGTGGTCTGTATGTCCAAACCTGTTAGGAATTTTTTTAAATTCACTTGTTAAAGGAAGACATGAATACATGGAGAAGGAACTAATCTTTTGTTTTGATACAAATTGCTGAGTCAATAAACAGACTGAGTGAAAAAGCAGCTTACTGGTTAACATTTTCCTAAGTACAGGTATTATAGTAAGCTTTTGAAAAGAAGTCAGGCAAACTGTATTCCCCAGGAAGTCAGAATATCCAAAATAATTTCAGAAACCTTGTTTTTAACAGCACCAGTCTCTAAATGGTAAACTCTAGAATTCTAATCGGAATTTGTATTTTATTAATTTCTATATTCAATTTCTAATTTTGGAAAAAACAGATTCCTTATCTTGGTTTAACTGTGCACTTCCTCTGCATTTCTGTGCACTCTTTAACACAGACCTCCAGCTGCTATTTAAGAATTCTATTGAGACTTTTCCTTTTTAGAAGGAAAAAAGTGTGACTAGGCTGGCTTCTGTTTGTATGTCATGTAGACAGTGTAGACAACATAATTTGACTATCAGGAAGTTTTTAGACTTCCTGATACTTCAGCCTCTGTTCTTGTAGTACTAGGACACAGATTATCTGTTAATATATTAAATGCTCAGTGTCTTTAGAAAAAGGAAGTAACTGTTTATCTGTTTCTGTAAGAACTAGAGGCAAATTAAAGGAGTTTGTTTTGTATTACAAGCCAGTTATTTGAAGAGTTGAGCATGATCGTAAGTATTCCAGGTTACAAGATGGTCCTTAATTCCACCAGTATCCTTACTTTCATTAGCAGGCAGTTTTGACAGATGAGGGTTGGACTCTGAGCTATAGGTATGTCCAGGGTAGTGAGTTGGATACTAAATCCAACTGAAATTTGGTCCAAGGTTTGTCAAAGGAACTTTCTCCTTAACGTTTTATTTAAACCCTGCCTTGCCAGTTCTCAGACGCAATTACAATTCATTAAGTTCTACTGGGTTAACAAGTTAGTTTATGAATTTCCTTAGCATATGTGGCTTTTCATTTTCTCCTGCATGAACTGCTTAACTTCTTGCTTTGCTGTTTTTAACATGGAGTGTTGGGATCCCAGTGATAGCAATACATGCTGTGTTGTTTTGTTTCCTACGTGATGTGCATTACTGAAGCCTTCTCTGTTCTCTTTGTCCAGACTTAGCTGGCTGTTGGCTGCATCATGTCCAAGATCATTTAATTAAACATGTCTGCACTAAAAGCATGTCTTAATTTTGTTATAATCATTGCTGGAATTAAAATGAAACTGAAGTTCTGATTAAAGATGAGTAGATATCAATAAAGCAATTTAATTGTGACTGAATTTTCTTGTCCTTTGATTAAGATTGGGATGCTGCATGACTTCATTTGAATAGTGTGTTTGATTCCCTTCCCCCCCACCCCCCAGTTTGGTATGATTATGTAAGAGTGAGGGTGTTTTAAGCTTTCCATTTCCAGTTTTTTTGTGAGGGTTAATCCTTTTCAAATACAATATTTAATGGTAGTCTTTATAATCTTAGGGCTGTTTTAACTACTAAAACATGTTAGAATTCATAGAATAATAGGAATGGTGCTTAGGAGGGCTCTCTGGAGGATCTCTGTTAGTCTAAACCTGGTCCAGCCTCCAGCTTGAAGTGGGATCATTACCCACACTAGATCAGGTGAGCTTGGCTTCATTTGCTGAATCCTGGAAGCCTCCAAGGATAGAGGCTTTCCAATGTCCCCAGGCAAGTTAATTCTGATTTGTGTCTCAGAACGTTCTTAAGGTCCAGAACTAAAGCAGTTTGGGATTTAAAGTTAGGATTTTACTATCACAATGATACTATATATGAGATAAATTTATTCCCTGTGGGAATAAAACTCACTTTGATTTTCAGTAATTTGTGCTCGTAAATCACATGTATATGAAAATATCTGGCATGGTTTTTAAGTTACCCTAACTGCAGTCTTCCCCAAGCTGTTTGTAATTTAAGAATATTGGAATATTTGTCAAGAACAGTACTTCTAGCAATCAGTCAGAATGTGTAGGTAATAAACTATAATTGCTGACATGATTCTGAACAGCTGGTAGCAAATCACAGCTGTTTAAGGATGAGGTGATTATGTTCAGACTTTGTGAAGAATTTAAAGCCTCTGCCAGCCTACCAAGCTACAGTGTTTCCTTATTTAATACCTGTCCTAGAACTTGAGTGAAAAATATGCCTGGCTTAAAACAAAAATTTAAAAAAAATTTAAAAAACCCTATGAAATTCAATGGATTTCTTTTCATGAAAAGCTTTGAAGGAGAGAACTTGCAACCCGCGTGCTAAGCTATGTGGTGTAGAAGGGTCCAGCAGCCTTTCTTCAAACAGTAAGTGGGGAGCAGCTTTATATTCTTGTGAATCATATTTCCATAATTATTTAGTTCCCATTGCCTGAATGCTCCGTACCACAGAGAGCAAGATTCTGCTCCTGTGAATAAGAGTCAAAACACATTAGCTGTGGGAATAAGTCTTTGTCTAGTATTCATTAAAAGTGGTCTTCTCATAACTTTCTAACAGCATTCTTTAAAACAGATTTTTATTTAGAGCAAAGTATTTGGATTAAATCATTTTAAAATAAAGACAAAGTCGGTATACATGATTTCCTCTTTTTCCCTAAGGTTTACTATTTCCTGGTCCAGAAAGTAGCAGCCCTCCACAGAGCCTTTGTCCGCCAGCCTGGCTGGCTGACTGCTGCTGGCATCCACGTGGTGGTGGTTTTATTAGTGCTGTCACCTCACCTCCTTTCTACAGCCTGGCGAGATTGCAGCATGGCTCTGTGCCACTGTTCCGTAACTGCCACGCAAGATTCTGGTGGTTTTATGAAGGATACAGAAGTGCATCCCTCTTTAAGAGTTCTTACCCAAATTCTCTACTCAGCCAAAGGTGGGTAAGATTGCTGCTGTTTTAGCTTTCTTTAGATGCTAATGGAAGCCAGAAGTATCTGACAAAATCCTCAAGGATTTTTCTCAACCACAACTGCATGTGAACTTCCTTATTTAAAAGTAGTGAGAAGCCAAATGCCTCAGCCCTAGGAAAGAATGAAGTCCACATGGTTGTGGATAGTCTTAACAGCCATAAGCTATACGCTGTTACACAGTGCTGTCATTTATGATTGCTCTAGAGTACCTACGCAAAGTTATCTTTTCAGCTGTCTAGTCTCAAATGTAATACTGGCTTATTTCTTCTTAGCTTCTCAAGACCCCATGGAAGAATAAAAGCACACAAATGTAGTGCATGTTCACCAGAATTACAGTGCTGGAGTCTTGTTCCATGACAACTGTTTGATAAGTACTTAAAATTCATCAGAAGTTGTAATTTGTTGATACATATTTCCAGTTTTTGGAGACCAAAACATGCTTCACACTCTACAATTTATTCAGCTTTCACGGATTTGTTTCAGCGCCTGACGGTCCCCCCGCATTGCACTGCCACCGAGCTAGTTGTGTCCCATCGTGGAACGTGTGGAACAGGTGGACTCAGTTGCTTTTCATTTCTCATTGCTGCTGCTTCAGTGCTCCATCAAATACTATGCTGCCATAGGGGCGAGCGCAGGAAAGGGGAGTCCCAGGGGCTTCTACCTGCTCATCAGGGCTTGCAGGGAATTTGGATCTGTTTTGTACCGAGAGAATCACTTGCTCAGGCATGGAACATGTAGGAGGAGAGACATTTAATGATTTGATTATTGTGAGAATATCCTTTTACTGGGGAAGAAAAGAGATCATTGATCTTTCTTCATGGCTTCTCACTATTCTATCTGTTTCTGACTGAAGCTTGCCTTCTGGCTGCTTCACCCTATCACTAATTATCAGCATCCTTAAAGACTATTAAAGACTTCAGCCTCCAAAGCTCTTAATCTAGACATGCTCACAGGCAGAACTTTGTC